ATTTCAATACTCCAAATGATTTGTTTCAACAGCTTGAACTAATGTGTCCCATTATGGCTCATAAGTCTTTGTTCGCTAGCAAGGTGTTGCAGTTTTTAGTGATTGGAGGTGGGACTCTATTTATGCTATTTATGCAATTCTCACCGTAAGAAAGAAACTGAAACACATCTGTCTCCTACTGTTTAAAAATGATCAAGAAAGAGGACTTTTCCCCCTACAGCTATTAACAGGAAATCAGGTATTCCCAGGAGCCCCAAAGAACTCTCTCATTTTTTCTGTCACTGCCAGGGATTTAAAAAAAAACAAAAAACTTTCTAACACACAGTTTAAAACTCTTCAGAAGTGCAGTACGTCTTTCTCTTTAGTTCAAAGAAGAATCTCCCCTTAGGATTTTGCAGCTTCTAGAGGTACACAGGAGATAATGTGTGGCATTCCTACTTTATTAAATGAAGGCAAATGTACAATTTCTTAGTAAGTTTGTACCAAACACTACTATTTGTACTTAATAGGGGATTGTTCACAAAGTCCCTTACTTCACCTAAGGATTCGTTCCCTGAAAGTAAGGTAAAGAAATCCAAGATGCCAATCCAAGCATTACTAGAGTTACCATTTCTGGGTGGCAAAAATCTGGACAACTACTAGATGACAGCAAGGAGTCATTGTTTTGTGTTGCCAAATTCAGAAATAATAAATTATGTTCAACATTTAGTTCTGAAGCCATACTCAGCAGCTTCAAAGGCCATGAGAACAGATTAAAAAATGGTAAAGAGTCAAAGCTCTAAAAGTGTAAAGTGAAGAGGTATATACCCATATTGCCATTCCCTTTCTGTGTAAGCAACACCGTGCAAAACTTAGAAACCAAGAATGAAATACTAAGATAAAGAAACTGAAGGTATAATATAAGAAAAGGAAATATACTAAATCTGGCTCACATCAACACCATTCACTGTATCTAACCATCTAACAACAGACTATATATGTACAAAATATAAAATGGTGACCAAGCACACAATATAACAACCACACCGGGGACTCCCACTCAGCCAGCCGCCAATGCCTGGGGAACGGCCAGGTCTTAAGGGCTTTCCTCAAGGCGAGAAGAGTTGGGGGCCTGTCGTATATCAGGCTTGGGGGGGAGATCATTCCAGACAGCAGGGGCAACCACAGAAAAGGCATG